ATATTGAAGCATTTTAAGACGATTAATAAATTTGGTCTTTTAAACACAAAATTCCTCACTTCCACTTTAAAGTGTCTCGTAACCTGTAAAACTTAAAAGATCATATTTGAAAAAATAAAGATGTCTAAGCTGACGTGACTTCGCTTACCTGCCAACTGGCTATCAATCAGATAAATAGCAACCAAAAGCAATACGTTTCTGTTGAGATTGGAATATATATTGTCTAATAGAAATAGTTGCCATTCACAATCACAAAACAATTGATTAATTTATTCCACTTTATTACGACAATTGATTAATTTCTTCCACTCTAGGATGTAGTTTAACCTCTTGCTTGGACATCTTTACAGAATTTAAAAAATAATTTTGAAATAATAATAATAATAAATAAAAAAAATACTCGAAAAAGTATCAAGAGTGGCTCTAAAAAAATATAAGAAATAAGTAACACTGCTGCCTTTTTATTTTTTTTGTTTCAACCAGTAGAGTTTTATTTTTGTATTTTAAGTGGTAGTAAATTTATATTTAAAATTAGATTCAAAATGTTGTTGATCATCATTATACCTAAATTTAAACTTATATGAACTATCTGAAAATCATCGCTGTGGTTTTAGTAGCTGATGAAATTTAAGAAATTTCTGCTTACAGTTATTGTTGTAGTTTTTATTTAACTATCACTAGAAAAAAAACTTCTTAAAATAGTGGAAGTGTTGGCAGCTAAGAAATAAGTATGATTTGTCTAATATAATTAGCGCTCGAAATGGGCTGCAGGTGGCGTAGAGCAGAACTCTCTACCTATGGCAACACTTCGCATGCTTTCCCCATTAGCGTGTGGAGAGTCATAGAGGAAGTACGTTAGTTTCTCTCTTGATTTTCATATAGATTAAAATCTTTAAGTTGGAAAACTATATGGAACTGAAACCTAGAAACCTAGTTCTAAAGAAAAGCATCATGGAAATTTTAAAAAATATTTTTATTAAAGAAAAAGGAAAAATATCGTAGTACATTCCTATACAACTGAAAAGAGGAGGAGAGGGAAGGGAGAAGGCATGAAACCGGCATGAAACCGGTTTCTCCCCAGATGGCGTATTCGAGCGTTGCGATCGCCAATATCAATAAACAACCATATTTTTAAAATGTTTATCTATTGTAAACTCAAGTTCGGTAACAGTTAAGCAAATAGATTTGTTCTAGTCCAAGGTAGTCCAGATAGATTTGTTCTAGTCTAGTTGCAGCGGGGTGCAAGGGGGTGCACTTGCACCCACCTGGCTTTTTTTTAAAAAAACAATTAAAGAGATACAGAAAAATTTTGTTATAAATTTTTTTGTTAAACATATTTTTATGGAAAAACAAATAATTAAGTAATTATTGATACATAACAATTAAAAAATTGTTTAATCAAACAAGAATTGTAATCGTCTTGTTTGATGTATCTGTTTATAANTAACTTTTTCAATGAATTCTGAGTCATCTTTGATTCTTTTCTTATGCACACTGAGCATTCACAAACTTGGCAGATATCTAAGCTATATTTTTAAATTTCATTTAATAAAATGTAAATAATATTATATTTTCTATTAGTTATTCAGTTTAACAAAGGTGTATAACACAAGCTGACTTCTCGCAACTGTAAAACTTCATCAACACAATGAATACCAATGTTAAGCGTGCACAAACACGTTAGTATACGAAACTACTGTTTGTAGTTATTTGTGCTTCAAAGTCAGTAGCTATGCCAGCGCGATCGCTTCTGGGCAAAATTTGTAAGTACAAGAAATTCGTACTTTTTTTTAAATATCTTGCTAACAATGAAGAAACGTATCTTGAAAAAATGAACAGATGAAAGTATATGTAATAAAAATCAAAGTGCAATAGCAGAATATTTCAATTTTTTTTCGGGGGGAGGGGAGGGTAGTTTGTTAGAAGGTTGCACCCCCTTTTATATTATTCTGCCGGCGCCCTTGTTCTAGTCAAAGGCAATCTACATAAAGAGGAATCTATTTATGTAGAAAATTAATGGAACTTTATTCGTTTCATTTATTTATTATTCGAAAAACGAACAATGTGATATTCATTTCCTAAAACGTGATCGAATATTCATTATAAATTTATTTAAATCTTTTAAAATACATCTATTTGTCAAATTCGAAAAAGAACAACAACAAAGCAGCATTTGTAGAATGAAATATATAAAAAGCCGTAATTAGTTTGCTTTATTAAAGAGAAATAAATTATTTTAGTGCTCTTGTTTTGTTGTTTTTACACAACATGTTAATTTTTCTACCACTATAATACTGATTTAAAGATTTTAACTAAATTATTCTAGTCACTAAATAAAATAAAAAATAAAAAATTCGCTAAATAAGTGTAAAAAAAGGAAATAAATTAATTCGTAGTTAAGAAGAAGACATAATTTTTCACTATCCTACGAACCAAACAATTTAGTAATCAACAATTCTCGTCGTAAACCGAATAGAAATACTAGTATATTATTCGAATCGTGGCCCATCGTTAAAGTAAACTTCATTCTTATTATTATTATTTTTAATGAAAAAAGAATATTTGAGACATTTATAGTGTCTAACTGAGTAAATCTTTCATGCTTTTCAAGATTTTATTAATAAAAATAATAAAAAAACAAATTAAAAAAAAACCACTAAAATTTTTAAAACCTATTAAAAATTTTAATTAAACTATAAAAAGAAATATTATTATTTTAAGGGAGGCAATTAATTTTCCTAATACTCCGAAAAACCATCAAGATAAACTATTAATTGAAAGCTAATTCGAAATTTAAACAAAGTGATACAAGTTACCCATTTACAGACTGCAAAAAAATAAATTAACAAAATAAAATCAATTTTCTCTGCCTACTATGTTTTTTATGCGTATGAAAACCTGATTAGAGAGTTTTTCTATTGTAAAAATATTTCACTAATCAGGTTCTCATTCGCATGCTATGTTTTAGCTTGCAAATTTTTCACATCTAGTAAGAACGCTTCCTAAATTGTGGTAGTGCAGTGCCAGCATGCACTAATATTGTCTTTAAACTATTACTAAGACGCCTCTTTTCCTTCATCCGATTTGCTTTCAATTGCGAATGATTAGAAACTGCAAGAGCATTCTCACCAAATGCAGTTGCCACAAATCCAATCACGGTTGAGAAAATAAAAGAGCCTGCTGCTGAAATTTATTTTTCATGTAGAAACTCCCTAATCAGGTTCATTTTTCTCTCGGTGGTAATTGGAGGTGCAGCAACTGCAATCAGTAAGAATGTTGCGTTGGCAACTAGTTTCAGAAGCGCCACCTGTATTTCATACTTACGATAATTTATGTTCATAGTTTTTCGAATGGCAACGTCAGTGTAAAATACAGAAAAATAAAAATTAAGTTTCGATTTGCTTTGCTTCATTTTGTTTGATGAAATATATAAATTAAATTTAGATAGTGAAGAGCTTTTATTGTCTTATTCAACAATTGGTGACCTACGGACTTGATAGATGCCTTATTAAGGTCAGTTATTTAGAAACAAAATTTGCAATTGCCAGTACATAACGAAATTAAACAATGGACGTACTGGTGAGAAAGAGATCGCCATTAAGAGCGACATTCACAAAAGTGTATAATCAATTAGTGATTATATTAGAAAAAGAAACTATTACAACTTCTGATTTGGAAGTTAAAATTGCTTCATTAGAAAGNTTTTGATAAATGGTATTTATCAAAAGGTGGGAGAATGTTGCGTTGGCAACTAGTTTCAGAAGCGCCACCTGTATTTCATACTTACGATAATTTATGTTCATAGTTTTTCGAATGGCAACGTCAGTGTAAAATACAGAAAAATAAAAATTAAGTTTCGATTTGCTTTGCTTCATTTTGTTTGATGAAATATATAAATTAAATTTAGATAGTGAAGAGCTTTTATTGTCTTATTCAACAAAGAATGCTCCTTTCTATGGAACTCCTTGTCCGATTCCAAGTCAGATGAAGTGCAAATGCCCTCTAAAGGATAGTTAAAAATTCGCAGACATAAATTCGGAGATGTGAATGAGAGCCTGATTGATGAAATATACCTATAAAAGATTTGCCGATCAAATTCTCGTTTGTATTGTCGAACTCACATCCCCGAAAGATTTCAAGTGAACAGTTCCTGAAAATGAATCCTATAAAATCGCAACTGATCTTAACATTCTAACTGCATTCGAATTGGACGATGTGATTATTTTGCACCCTTACTCTAATCAAGTTTACTCTTTTCCTCGATTGCTAATGAAAACAAATTGTTATTGTGTAAGTATAAAATGCGATACTCACATGCGATGCTGGCATCGACTGAGGTCCGTGCCGTACCAAACAGAGACGGTAAAGGTTCATTCTCACTGCATGCTAACACATTGCTGAAAGTAGCAAACGAGAATCTGAATGGAGGGTTCTTTGAAGGAAATATATTATACCAATCAGGCTCAAAGTCGCTTATGCGAATTTTTTCTTACAGCGAGAAAGGTCCCTTAGAATTGCTCTTTGTGAAATTTTAGTGCGTTAAGACTCAAACCAAAAAACTCTGACAACTTATTTATGTAAGTTTTTTTCGAATATAGTGATGAGAAAAAATCGTAAATGTCAATTCATGGATGGAAACAGGAACTTGGTTGAAATTTTTCGGCTGGTAAATATGTTTCACTAATCAGGCTTTGAATCGCATCTTCGAAATCACATATGCAAACTTTTTTATGCAGTGTAAACAATCCTTTAAGCCGGATCATACACATTGCACCAATCACATTCTCAATCACCCTCATTGCAAGCGCGATTGCGGAAACATCTGACCTCACATTCAAAATACTTTAACTTTTACTTTTAGATTAATAATGCCATCTAGTGAGTAATTTTTTTACCCTGAATGTTCTATTGAATTCCTCTTTTTTTTAATTCAAAATACTAAATAGTTGTGCTTATAAGAGTTATTTTATATTTATTACGTATCTTACTAGAATTAATTCTTATTCATTGTCTAAAATTAACTCAATTATATTGCTTTCTATTGAAAACCTGCAAGCAGTGTATATGTAGTGCCATCTGTTGGGAATTCTGGTTTTTTCTGTTTTTATCAACGGCCTCTTTTTAGTAGATTTTGATCCCCTGGTGACGCGGCGAGCAAAGAGGCGGCTAGATTCTTGTTAAGTGTGTACGTGTTTTAGAAGAAGGGTAGAATGGCTCAAGCTACGGATTCCGGACCTGTGTTCTTTACAAAAGCAACTCCAGAACAGTGGAATTACGTTCTGTCGCAGTACAAGGAAGTACTTAAAGAAAAGGCATCTAAAAGGACCAAAAAAGGTGGACCTGAAGAGCTCATACGTCTGGATACATGGTATGTAAAAAACCTTTGTTCGACTGGTTCAAGGCCATTCACCCTCTTGCCCCTTTGTTAATCTTTTAGGTGTCTTCTGTCCGTCCGTGTGAAAAAATTGACAGGCACATTTAAACTCAGGCGGGATTACAGATCTTTGACACACGTGCTATTAAAGCGCATGTTTTGGTTAGCTTTGTTTTTCTTCGTTAGTAGATCGGTCTGAAGTATTGGGGGGCAGCGCAAACAACCTCTGTGTCTGCTCATTCTAGTGTAACCGGGCTTAAGAATTCGTTGTCCTTCCTTGTTAAGCTACATTTTTTTATAAAAGCTTAAAAATTTTACATAAAGTATAATTGAAATAAAAAAAGGGCTATTATCTTATTTAATAATATTTTCTTTTGGTAAAGTCATCTGATCTTTTTTTTTAAAAAAATACAAGAACATAATTTTTTTAATAGTAATTAGTGAAACATAATTTGTTCGACTAACAGTCGATGTAATTGAGCATATATAATGATAAAGTCCTTCTCCTCAACTGTTATTTAACATTTTATATTCTTTTAAAGGAGTTTTAATTTCATAAATTATGAAAGAGACACTTTGCATAACAGAGAACAAAATGGACGCCAAAGTTTTTTTCAAAACAGCACTTATATGATTTTCTTGTTAGTTCTCTGAAAAGTAATTAAATTAAAAACCAATCATTAAGAAAATTATTTAATACTTATGATTTGGGATTATTATTATTTTATAGATTAGAAATAAGGATTTTTTTTTTTTAAATTTACCTTTTTTACGCTTCCGTCATAACTTCTTTAATTTGATTTTTTTTTTCCCTACAAACCATTATTTTATTGATTAGCTAGTGTGGTATTCATTTATTCAAATGAATTTACATATTTTATCCTCAAACAAAAATTAATTTCCTATTTATTAATTAGTTTGTTGTGCAGTATACTATGTAATTTAAACAGAAGTTTTTTTTACTGACTATTGCATTACGTAAAATAAAGGTTAAAACTCACAAGTGATCTTTTTGTCTGGTGAAAATTCTTATTTTGGTACCTGCACATCTTGGTTGTCATGATTCTTATTGTCTTTAAAAATTGTAGTTCTTGTGCTTACTTTTTTCAAATACTTCTCAATCTAATTCTCCTCTATAATGTTTAAATACAATAGTTATATTAGGTATATTAAACTTAATTTGCAATTTTGATTGCATATTCTGAAATAAAATTTCATGCTGGTTTGTTTTAAGGACAGTTAAGCAATATTAATGAGTTTACAGTGTTGATGTGAAATCACTTAATTGTTATTCTCTTTTAAAGAATTCATGTGTTTTATAATTTTCCATATAATATTTATTACTTGGCTCTAAAGATATACTTCATTTAAACTTATTTAATATAGATTTAATCAGACCAGAAATGTAAGTGTTTTTAAGCTTTTAACAATTGACTATCCAGATAAGTCTAGACTTTTCTTGAAAGGTCCTCTTTGTATGAGATTCTGACAAATCTACTCTAAATTTTGGGGGCAGATTTTTTTGTATTTTAAAAAAGTGTTTTCTTCTATCAAAAATACATATAAAATTGTCTTTCGAAAATAATTGCATATAAATACAAAATGAAACCCAACACTATAAAGTCATAATTGTAAAATAAAAAATAAAAAAATCGCGTATTATTTCTAAAAAATACAGATTGCTGCTAACGAAGTTGAAGAATCTCAGCTTATATATACAAAGCTGGTATAAGTCTATTGCCGTCAAATTTGAAACTTTCATTATATAGCCATATAATCAATCACTTTTTACGCCCCTATTTATCATAATGTTTAGATGGATAATATTATAAAATGGTCCATTGTTTTGATAAAAAAATTTTGTTGAGGGTTCATTCTGACAGGAAATTTACTTAAAGCAGTGTTTTCACTACAGCGCGAGAATCTCGCATATTTTTTTCTTTTCTCGCATCAAAAAATTATTACTGCAAAAAATTCGTGCATTCTATAAATCAATTTCAAAATTCGCGAATTTCTCGCATTTTGGAAGAAGCTTCAAATTACACTATTTAGAATAAAATCCGTTTCACTTTTCTTCCTGGATCTTTCATTATTTTCAACATTTGCTCCGTTATCTAGCTTCCCTATTTACAAGTATTGTTCAGAACTTTTTTGAACAACAGAACACAACTGAACCATGGAACCCCTTTCAGAACACATTTCTCTGCAACCACGTGTTTACCGTAGGTAAGGTTTTTTCATGTAAGACGTTCAAATTTTTTATGCACTAATGTAAGATGGACAAATACCTAGTAAAGGCAAAATCTTCTATGATGATGCAGCAAGAATATTCAATGCTTTAAAAAATAGAAGACGTTAAAAATGTATTATAATAAAAGAAATGATTTTTTTTCCAAGTCTATTTGTGTTTTTTAAGTTTTTGGAAATCTCACTTAACTTTTTGAAATCTCACCCTGTTTTTGAGAAAGGGTGAGAAATTCTCACCCATTTTTTTTCTGTGATGAAAACACTGCTTAAAGACAGCTAATAATTGAGATGAATGTTAAAATGATTTCCGCATAATGATCTGCTGCAGAATAAATGCTATGTCTTGGCAATTTCCAGGCTGCAGCCTGCAAAAAAAAAAAGCGCTCAAAGGGGCCAACTCAAAAGGTATAACTCGTAGCCATCCTTAGGTAAACGTCTGTGTTTTCATAATACAAGAAAAATTTTGCTAGTTAAAAGTTCATTTGTCGGTTGTAGTTCACACAACTGACCAAGATACAGAAATGAAATCGTTGAGAAAAGATTTCCATTTTGTGGTCTGTGCAGAATAATCACCAAGTCTAGAGAAACTGGAACGGGGGGAAAATGCAAATTGTCCATTTGGTGATTGCAGTTGGTGCTTCAGATCATGATAGAGAAATATTCCCCCCATATTTCTGGAGTGGCTTGAAATTTTATAACCAATGTTGAACAGCAATGTTAAACCCCATATCCTTGTAACATTGAACCTAACCCTCAAGTCAAAAAAGCTCCAGAATCAAGCATTAAGATAAATTAGACTTCATGTAAGATTTTTTGATGGAACTAACCTATATTTATGTTACATGGAGAGGAAAATAACGAAAATCTCTCACTGTTAGCCTAGAACCAACAGATTCTAACTCATGATCCGTCGTCCTCCGAGGATATTTCACTTAAGCACTGTGATTATTGCAAGCCGATAGCAGAATTTCTATCTGCGGCCACTGCCGGGATTCGCACTTAAGTAGTCACTTTAAATATAACCATCGTTGAACAGCTAAACCAATTTGGAGTTCACAACTACTGATGTTCAACTCCATAGCCTTGTAATTTTGAACCTAATCCAGGAGAGAAGGAAACTCCTGGATCAAGTATTGGGAGAAATTTGCCCTCTATCCCCTTAGCTGCTGCGACTCTGCCTCAAATATAATGAAAATTGACTGGTGCACCTAAATTTAATTTCTTAAAGAACTGATTAGCTACGAAATTCAGAAAAAAATTATGAAGCATTTAGCACCAAGTCTAGGAATCAACTATTGTCCTGAAGATATTAACTTCGATTTGGATGCTTGTGTTACCAAAATAGATGGGACCTGTGATAGAACTACAAATTTTAGAATCAGAAATGACTTTTTAAAAAAATTATTCTAACTTTTTAATTTAACTTAATTTAGGTGTACACAACCTGCAGCTCTTGAATCATGAATTTTTATGAATAAAAAGATTTAATTTTCTACAAATATGTTACTAAGTTTACTGATAAAGACTGCTAGTGGTTAGAACACTAATTATCATATTTGCAATTATCATGACTAAGTAGGCATGCAGCCCTTCGTTGGTCAACTTGCTTTGCAAGTGGCCCTTCACTTGAAAAGGTTGTGCACTCCTACTTTAATTGTTAATTGCTTAATTGAAATTTAAAAGCAAACAGTTGTTTTTCATTAAAATAAGGTAAAAATAAAGATTTGGAAGACATTGTCATCAAATTAGTAAGTTTTTGTTTCTTTTAAAATTGTTATGGGCTCAAATTAAGAGTCCACTACGATTTTATTAAGTTATGTAAACCATTTGTTTTATGTATTTAAATATGTATAAATAATTGTCTTAGATATAGTTTACTTATTGTTATACGATTTAATTAATATACTATTCAGAATACGTATTTTAAGTTTTACAAATCAGTTATTATTTAATAAACTATAGTGTTACAGATTTCTAGCCTAACAAATTTTTGAACTTCCCCTTGAATTTTTTGAGAAGGTTCCTTAAAATACCTTGAAATTTTTAAGTCCTCTACTCCTGATTAAGTTATGTCTAGCATTTAAATTTTTGTTGTATGAATAAATTGAAAATTATATTAAATAATATGCTGGAAAGTAATATTAAAATAAGCTAAATTTTGATTTTGTTGAAATGAGAAATAAAAACTGTTATAAGTGTTAAGTAGTCAACGGTACATGTAACATAATTCTTTATTGTTAAGTTTATTTTATTTTTGAATTGAAAACTTCAAATGTCAATGCAATTTTTTTTTAATGCATGTTCTTTTCTTCCATTCAAAATTTTGTTGGTAAGACTTTCGTAAATGTACTTACTTTTTTTTTTTGTTTTTTTAAGCCTAACATAAATTTTGTTTTAACAGAAATTTAAGGTTTAAACAAAGTATCTCTTTTTTTTTTTTTTTTTCTTTCTTGCATTTTAATTATGGAAATTTTAACTTCTGCAAATATGGTTTTAAAACATATTGGTGAGGCTAGATAACATATTCTTGAGAAAGATGAAAGTATCTAATATCTTTCATTTAATGAAATACCTTATTCACCTACTACTAATAAACAAACAAGAAAGTTCACCTTTTTTTCAATAAAAACCAATCAAAGGTAGTTAACAAATTTTAAAATTAGAAAAATCACAGGTATTGGGTGCCAAATCTTTCTTGCTATCACAATGCATTTTTATAAGTTATTTATTCATTTGACACTATGCAT